ACAAGAGGCAAAGCTTCTCTGCCTTAGAGGTTTCACTTGGACGTGAGACCAATGCTTCCATCAAAGAGGAAGCTTGGCTTTGACAAGGGGGTAGGTGCACACTTTACATCAAGAGTTGTGCTACTGGGTGAGCAGGTAGGATGTGGTGGGTGGTGTTTCTAGCTGCTTCTTCAGGATCTTAGTCTTTCAGTACTTAGGCTGTGGAGACTTCATTTCCCCTTCAGAATACTATTAGTGGGTCCAATATTAACTAAAAAAGACATTTTATGATACTGTATGATTTTATGATTCTATACTTGCCCTTGGAGTACCAAAGTAGCAATTTAGTGTTTCATGGTCACTGAAAAGATATCATGTATACATCTGACTGTAAAACCTTCTAGGGAAGGCTTAAGAGAAGACATGCTGTAGGGCAAAAGTTTAAAAACATGTAAAAAAAAAAAAGGGAAGAAGTGCCAAGAGTATAAAATAGCATTTGCTGTTGGACTTAGAGTGTTAGGTCCTCCATTTGTAAATAAACTCAGAATATACAGTGTCATCATCATAATTGCAATGACTGTAGGTACTAGGTATCATGTGGTCCTAAAGGTGAGGCTCAGTGGTATTCAAGTTTTTCAAGGTTATATTATATGGGTAAGAAAGGACATTGTATTCAAAGCCATACCTAATTCATCCATTTCCTAAGTAGAGAGATGAACTGGTCACTAATAACATAGATCATAAAATCTTAGTCAATGCCATAGAACTTAAGAGATAGAGGAAGCTTGCCAGACCACAGTGCATATCTGTATTGTTCTAAATGATTGTAACACTGATGATGGAACCATCCACCTATCACTCAGCAGTCTCATGACTATGATGCTTCAGATTTTGACCCTATTTAAGCAACAAACAAAAGAAAGATTGAGAAGAACAAAGAAGTCTCTAAAGTTGGAAAATGGTTTAAAGATTCTTCTTTTTTTTTTCAACTGCTGTCCTGGGCTGATAGATAACTATGGGCAAAGTTTGCTGAATTTGACTAAACAAAGGGATAATTAGGAAATATCTTTAGCTGTCAGAGAGATGCGAGACTCATATGTGTTGCTATAATGTACTGTAAAATGTTTTGATTTTGAATAAGCCATCAAAATGTTCTGAAAATGTCAGTATGGCCAGACTCAATGACAAATAAAGCTTTCAGGAACACTGATGTTTATCATGGTTTGAATGTGTCTTTGGAAGCTTAATTCCACTGCAAAGGTGTTGACAGGATGGGGAGAGGTGACTAGATCTCCAGGTCTCTGCCTTCCTGGAACTAATACAGTGATGGTGGGAAATGAGTTAGTTATCATGAGAATAGATTTAGATGAAAGGATGGGTTCAGCCTCCTTCCACGCTCCTGGTTTCTCACGTCTTCTTGCTCTTTTTCCTCATCCTATTGGATGTTACAGTGTGAAGACACTCATCGGATGTGGGTCCCTTGAACTTGGACTTCCCAGTTTCTAAAACAATGAATCAAATGATTCATTTTGACATCACCCAGTCTTGGATGTTTCAGTAAAGCAGCACATAAAGACTACTGGTATTCAGTAACTATTAGTTAAGTAAATGAGCCATGTATTTTCCAAGACTCTAGAGAAGAATCCTTCCTTGATTCTCCCATATCCTGGTGTCTGCTGGAAGCGCTAGCCTTGTGGTACTATTACTTTAATCTTTAGCTCTTTGCTCACATAGCCCTTTTATCTATGTTACAGTGCATCTCTGAGTCTACCCTCTTATAAGGACTATCTCTTAGGATTTAGGCTCTTACTTAATTCAGTTACATTAGCCATAACTGTATCCCATTGGACACTCTGAAGTTCCAGGTAGAGATGAATTGGGGGGCTACATTAAACTCCAAAAATCCATTATTTTTTGTTTTCTATAAAACCACTTAAAGAGACACAGAGAGATTATATACTGCAAAATATGTTGCTTATTTATGATGGTTGTTAAGAATGGCTTTGGTGACCATAAAATATTGGAGTGTTTAAAGTTTGACTATCCAAGAAAGAATGGACACAATTAGGAAAAAACTCTTTGCCACAGTTAAGCAACTATCCATTTGGTCTCTAATGGAGATTGGGATATCATACCCACATATACGTTTGCCTTAAAGACTGAGATGACTCCTGATCAGCCAATGGGCTCTCAAGGAACTTTTCTGTGTAATGGACCTGCCTCAGATGAGTTAAGTGGACTCTGGTTGGCGAATACCTTGAGGAGATGAGGAATGGCACAGTTCTCTAAAGACAGATGATGTGATAGCCTGTGTGGTCTAATGACATGAGTTTCTAGAGTACCCCCTGTTTAAGATGCAAATGTGCCTGAGAGAACTGAAGGATAATTCCTTTAGATGTTCATTGAATAGCAGGCTCTTTTAAATGCATTGAGAGATGATTTTCAAGAGTAACTTAATTACCATCAATTTTCACTTGACATGCAACTCCATTCATTCCGGATAACATGACTAGATTATACAATAATTCTAGTTAATCACTAGACATTTTCTCATCAGAGACAGCCACTTCTTAAATGTCTGCAGCAAGAGTTCTGCCTTCTATTGTTTTTCCCAAGAAGAAGAAGAAAAGTAATGAAATCAGAAATAATATATCATTGAGTGAAGATTATAAAATATAAGTAAGCACAAACAAGTTTAAAAGTCCCACCATTTTTACCCTTCTGTAATACGAAACAAAACAAAATTCATCACAGTTATATTTTATTATGGACTCTGAATTTGCTTACTCCATGTGTATAGGCCTGCATTAAACTTTGTTTTATTGTTTACTTGTGTATATATCTGTGTGAGAATGGACACATGAGTGCATGTTCTCGTTGAAGCCAGGGGATGGCACTGGACACCTGGGTCCAGAGATTCAGGCAGCCAGCTTCCTGATATGGGTGTTAAAAACTGAATGTGCGGCCTCTCTAAGAGCAGCAGGAACTCTTGTCCCTCCCTGGGCATTTCTGATATAGAAACATGTAACTGGGTCATATGTGGCAGGTTGGGACCAGAGTCATTCGCGCAGAAAATATCAAGCATTTTCCACATCGAGTAGCATAGACTCCCGAAGAACCTGCATTGAGTTTACTCTTTTGCTAATGTGTCTACTTTTTCCAGAGAGTAAGTTTTTTGGCTGCAGTCCCACTGGGAAGGAGGGTCACAAGAACTGCTGTGCAGGCACCAGGGTACCTGGTTGGTGAGTCCTGGGAAGACAGAAGGAGAGCTAGGCTGGAGGTTCAGCAAGAAGATACTGCCACTGAACAAGAAGAAGCTTGCTGAAACAGACATCGTTGTGGCTGTGTTTCCCCTCCAAACCAGCAGCACTGTCGCCTTTGTTAAGGCGAAGAGGTACTTTTTCCACTCAAAAGGATGCTCACAAATGCTTTCCAAATACACTTACCATTGTTGTGGGTTCTCACTTCAAACAGTTTTCAATTCATTTTTTTTTTTTTGCTAAAGCCACTGAGCCAATACAAATTCATTGTAATAAGTAGGTGGTAAGAGAATATTTAGATGTCTTTTGTACAAAACCTTTGAGATAATGTCAGAGGAAACATATAGGCTTCATTTACCTTTATTTCTGATGCTGGCTAAAGGGAAAGGCAGATGTCCTTTCATGAATATTGTCTATTAACCCCCAGAGGTTTTGTGTGAACTGTTGTGTTTAACTTAACTCTCCAGAAAGAAGGGGACCACGATTTGCTTTAAATTGTTACTTACACAGTGCAATGTCTCAGGCTTTAGCGCTTACTTGATTGCATTTAGACATTACATTGACAAAGGAATGGACTGCATTAAATTAGCATCAAGCACAATGAATGGTAATTGCAAGACTGTCATTCCTACAAGTGCAAAATTGATGTGTTCTGCAAGCCCATTCCATTGTGTGCCATGGGAAAATCACAGAAGCATGTTGTTATGAGCAGAAAAACACAATGTAATGGCCCTGTTAACGTGTCTTGGTGTTTTTCAGCAATGGTATTCCTTTCCACCTTTGTTTTGGTCTCATACTCATTCTTCAAATCCCTTCTGATCTAATTTGTATGCTCATAATCCAGCCCCGCCAGACAGGAGCCTGGATGTCCAGGCAAACGTTGTGGAACAATTCCTTCTGTGTGTGGCACCTCGTGTGAAGAATGGCAGCGCAAACAACCCCCGTGTATTCAGAGAGTATGAATGGGTACTTATGTAAAGCTTCTTAGATGAGACACAGCAAGGGCTTACAGCAAACTTTCCCCAAATGCTATACATTCGTTTAGAAAAAGAAGGGTGCTTTATAGGCTTCTGGGGCTTAGGAGAAGTGCCAGCTACTGTTCTTTTACTCTTCTTGGGGGGAAATAAAGCTTCACCCGCTGAGTGAATTTCTTCCAGTCACATGAGCACAGAGTATATCCCAGTGAAAACATGTACATACATTGGGCTCTTAGACTTTCATTGTCCATGTGGAATTTACTACAGACTCAAAGGCTAGACTAGACTAGTTCTGAAATAAAGGATGTTCTAAGTTGACTGAGCATATTTTTAGTATCTTTGTAGACTGAGGTCAGCTGAGAGCCACCCCTAAAGCTGTTTTGAGTAAGGTTAGTAATGATGGTGCTAATGACAATTTGAGCCGACACGCTTTCAAACTTAAGCAGTGTTGGGGGTGGGAGCACACAAATACCAATGGGCTGCATTTGACCGTGGAGTCTGATGTGGGATGGCTAAGCCTGAGTCCCCTTTTAGAGGTCCCTTTCTTTGTCACACAGCGAGACTCTTTACATTGTAACGTTTCAATCAGTGCGGGACTCTGGGTAACTGTGTACCAAGGTCAAGTCTTTAGTAAACAACAAAGAAGTTCCCTCCTAAGGTGGGAGAAGGATTCACTTTACCCATAGAAACAAAGGCAACCATTTGCAGCAGAAGAAGCACTAGACAGATAGTTGAGTCTTATAAAGGTGTTTGAAGACGGGGCTGGAAGTCGCCTCTTCCATACCTTTGTTGCAGAATGTCCCATCATAGGCTGTGTTAGAGCAGTCACAGGAATATCCGTGGTATTTCTCGATGCATTTGCCTCCATTTTCACAGTTGGCCCCGTAGCTGGTGCAGTGGCCTGAGCATCCAGATTTGAATCCGGATGTGACCTTTGCCCTTTCTTCCAAGTCAAGGGTCACTCCATTCATCCTCAAGGAGCGAATACAGCCCAGGAAACCCTGCTGGCCGCCAGCACCACCTGGGAAAAACAGAAAGCACAGTTCAGATGGGACAGGTCACCTCGGCAACTGCTTTTCTACTCAACCTGTTTTGAAATTACAGCAGAAGACAAGCTGGTAAGTCTTTTCCCTTTCGAGTTGGTCCAGAGTAAACAGAAAGAGTTGAAGCTTTCCCTTAGGCTGTGGTGTCTAATTAAAAACGGCTGTCTTCTGAGACGAAGTAAACTTGCCCCAGACACAAAATGTTTGTAGATAGGCAAAAATGTATAATCTGGATTCTTATGGAAAAGACGCTCACAGAAGTCTTTAGTTTCTTTGTTCTTTAATCTCAGAGTGCTCAGTTCTCTAGCATTATCTGTTGAACTATAAAGGCAGAGAGACATGAATACATTAGCATAACTAAGTAAGCCAATTAGTCAGAAGGCATAAATTCATTTGAAATGTCATTGTGCTTGGTGAGTCTTATCTCATGTTTTGCTTTGAAGTTTGCATTGAGATACTCAGGACTTGGTGACTGGGATGGCTGGAGGTTTGAACAGAAATAGGCTTGTTACAGTTACTAATATTCCAGGTTGGTTACAGTTACTAACATTCCAGGTTGGGTTTCATTGCTTTTGTCACAGTGCCGTTTCAAGACATAAAGCAACACTATGAAATGCTGTCCTCAGGATACGGCATGGGTACAGCCATCATGAGCACACAGCAACTGAGGATACCTGCATAAGATCTGCAGAGAATGACCCCTTCAGCATCCCAGCATGGATGGAAGCTCTTGAGGCCCTAATGAAAGTCCACAGGGCAAGAAAAGACATGAGGATGTATGAAAAACTAGCTGGGATGGAAAGAGGGTCAACGGGAATGCTAGAGGAGTAAGAGAGATGAATAGAAGCAATTTATCATGTATGGAATAGTTAAAAGGTTAAATTTAAAAATGACATCTGGCATGCAATGATGTGTTCATTATAACTTCTGGAGTAGGTTATAGAGCAAGGCTGAGTTTTATAAGCGTGAAAATATTAAAGAGGTCTGATGTACATAGAGGGACCCACAGAAGCACTGTCAATTTAACAAAGTCTGTAATTATCTGGATGCTTTTAAAACTGGAGCAATCTCTATTGTGGGTTCGTAGATCAGTAATATGATTATATATGTATAAACACACATATAACATGATAATATTATATATGGTAAAATATATTATATATGACATGAATGTGTATATATGTATAAATAGGACATTAAAACAGAGAACAGAAAAGAGACTTTATTTTTGAAGGAAAGAGGACACATGAGGAGGATGGAAGAGGGAGGGTGGAGGGAGTGAATGAGAAAGGACAATGATGTATACATATGAAGGTGCCGTAATGAAATCCATCATTTCATATGTGAACTAAAGAAAAGACAGTGTAAAAAGAACCAAGCTGACTACTCAAGCATTACTCTCCAGGACAGTGTGTGTGTGTGTGTGTGTGTGTGTGTGTGTGTGTGTGTCCAAATCCATAGGCTGAGTGCACGGTGCCCTTGACAATGCATGGTGGTTTGCCTCATCTGTTAGACAAGAACAGAGGATGCTTGAATTTCATCTTTCCAACCCGAGCATCTGCTTCCCCTGCCCTCAGAACTGGCACTCCATATTCCTGGACTCTGGAGCTTGTAGTGAATTATACTGCCAATTTTCTTGTTTCTCTAACTTCCACAGAACAGGGTGTTATATTTCCTTGTTTTAATAACCCCTCAAGCCAATTCCTTAACAAAACTCTCAGTAAATTAAAAAAATGTGGGCTTCTGGGGAGATGGTTCAGCAGGTAAAGTGTTTGGTACATAAGAACCCTAGTTCAGATTCTCAGCACCCAGGTAAAAGTCAGGCATGACAGCATTATGTGTTACAGTCAGTGCTGTGTTAAGGGAGACATGTGAATGTTAGGGTCAGCTGGTCTATCTTGAATGAAAACTCCAGGTTCAGGGAGCTGTCTAACATATAAGAAGAGGACACTAAATGTCAGCTTTTGTTCTTCACAAGTACATGCACAGGCGAGAATATCAGCACATGTGTGCCTGCACACATGCATATATATATATATATACACACACACATGCACGAATGCACACACAGGCAACATGCACACACACATGCATGCACAGACACACACACATGCACACAACTCAGGCACACATGCATGCACACACACAATACACATGCATGCACACACTCACACACATGCCCCCACACATGCACACACACAATACACACATGCATGCACACATACACATGCCCCCCACATGCACACATACATATACACATGTAAACACACACACTACAACATGCACACATACAAATGGAGAGGTCAATAGGGCTCCGTTGTTTGGATAAGATAGTTAGGCTAGAGATGCAGTCAGATCACTCAGCCATTATCCTGGTCAAAAGCGCACCAGCCAGTAGACTCACTAACAAGGACTAGTGACTGATCAAAGACTGGATCACAGGATGGATCAGTATCTGGTTATGCCCATATGTCCTTCTTATCAGGGAAATGGAAAATGAATCTACTGCCTTTTTGAGCCCAAGCTTACAGTACTTTACGCGGGTCATATATTGATTTGAATAACCATTCTCTAAAGTAGCATCTTGTTTTTATAAAATATTTGACTAGAGGATTAATTGAAGAGAGTCCAGCGTCCTTTTGGATCAAAGCTATGGATAGTAAACAGAAAATGAAGTTATTAAACACGCTGCTTTGAAGGACTTGCCATCCTGCCATCTGCTAGGCAGTGCAGCTTCACACCTCTGTGCTGGAGAGAATGAGAGCCTCTGCCTCCCTTGGAAGCGATTCAGCCCCGCAGTCCCCTTTTGTGGGTTAGAATTTCAATTTGGCTCGGACCACTTTTGCTGCTCTGGTTTTTGTTCTTGCAGTGAGAGATTTTCCAAAAGGCCTTTTATTACATGAGTGTGTAGCTATTTGAATTTTTACCACTAGTCAATTAAGACAATTAAACCCTATCAAAACTATGCTGAAAAATTTAAAAAGGCTGTTTTTAGATATCCCCCCTCCTGTTTGCCTAATTACCATGGGAATAGTTCTGGGTTTTGTGTGTGTGTGTGTGTGTGTGTGTGTGTGTGTATGTGTGTGTGTGTATGTATGTATATATATATAAATATGTGTGTATATATATAAATATGTGTATGTATATATATAAATGTGTGTGTATATATATGTGTGTGTATGTGTGTATATATAAATATGTGTGTGTATATCTATAAATGTGTGTGTATATATATATATATAAATATGTGTGTATATATATATAAATATGTGTGTGTGTGTACTGATAAGTAAGATGCATAACTAAAACAAGTTACGCCACTCAGACATTACTGCCTTTATTTTTAGGGGAAAACTTTGTCTACTTAAGAATATTCAACCTTCATTTTCATTTTGTGTGTATGGGTGTTTTGCTGGCATGTATGTCTGTGCACCATCTGAGTGCAATGCCAAGAGATGCCAGAAGAAGGCATTAGATACCTGGAATGGGAGTTACAGACAGTTCTGAGGCACCACGTGGATGCTAGGGACTGGGTCCTCTGGAAGAGCAGCCAGTGGTCTTAACTACTGGACCAGCTCCCTAGTCCCTACTTTTGTTTGTGAACATACATAAATATAAAAATCAGGAAAGGCATAAGGAGACGGGGACATAACAGGCATTGTCCTCAAATTTGCTTTCTATACTTCAAGTATCATGACACATTTTCCAAGCAATGCAGCATAGTCAGGACATCTTGTTTATTATTTCATAAAACATCTTTGTAATGATGCTGCCACTCCCTTTTGCCATTCCATCACTAATGGAATTTTGTAATTTTAACTTTCTGTGAGAGTATAATAGTATGAACTTTGTAAATATCTCAGAACATCTCAGCATACTTCTTCAGTTTTCAATTTTGCTGTTCTCTCTCTCTCTCTCTCTCTCTCTCTCTCTCTCTCTCTCTCTCTCTCTCTCTCTCTCTGTATGTATTTATATGTGTGCAGGTGCCAGTGCATTTATAGAGAGCAGAAGTCTCTTTCTCAATTGCTCTCTGCTTTTTTGTTTGAGTCAATGTCTCTGACCGCACCTGGAGTTCTCTGATTGGATAAAGTGTCTGGCCAATGAGCCCCATGGTCCTCCTGTCTCCAACTTTTCACTTTGGGGTTATAGGTGCATGCTTCCAAGTTTAGCTTTTTGCTTTTTTCCGTGGGTGTTGGGGGTCCAAACCCAGGTCCTGATGTTTGTGTATCAAGTACCTTATTGCTGGTATATTTTAAAGGCCTTTAAGAACAATGTACCAATTTACACTTTATCAAAATGGAACAAATGCATATTTGCTTTTTACATAATCCTGATCTGGTGATGTATCCTATTGTGTTTACGTCAGTTTCATTAAATGGGAAAAAAAATCATTACTTTGATTATTATAATGAATTATGTTGTATTTTTCTTATTTTTAAATTGCTGCTTCATATTTTTGTTTTGGAGGGGATAAGTGATGATATGTTTTTATTGGTTGGTGTTAATATTTTGAGTTTTAAAACTATGCTGATTAATTTTGTAACCATGTCCTCTAGTTTGTAATTTTTGAGTTGTAGATGGTACTTTTTTCCCCTATAAAAGTTTTGAGTGATTGTGAATCCACACTAACATTCTTATTTCTGCTTTTGGTATTTGATTTGTAATGACTTTTGGCAATATAAACTAATATAATCATTTAATTATATATTATTTATAATTATATATTTATTATATATATTCTATATAGAATTCTATGTAACACCTTGCAGTTTTTTCTCTTAACATTTTAATCCCTTCTTCCTCCCTCTGTCATTCTTTCACTCTCTTCCTCTCCCTCCTTCTGCCCCCATTTCTTTGTTCCTTTCATAGTGCACAGCACTATGGATGGAACCAGGACCTTGTGTGTGCCAGGCGTGCACTCTAAGCCATATCTCTAGCTGTATAGCAACAATATGTGAGTATAGTGTAATTTACATTT